GTCTGTTTTAACGATTAGACCCATCTCTTGCTCCTGATAGCTTCCGTTGTGAAACCTGGATACTAGAACATGTTTAATTTATTGGGTAGCAGGAAGGAGAGGAAGATATGTAAGTTTTACAAACCATTCTGGCTTATAGGGGCGTACGACAGTGTGTACAGCATGCTGTCAGCAGTGTCTCAGTGGTAGAAGATTATTCCTTTGTGGGAAGAAGGTGCGTGCTAGTTTAAGATATCCCTACAAAAACTGCTCTCATTCTTTCATTTCTTTGTTCATTGATGCTTATGAAGTGACCTCAGCCTCTGTTTTAGGTTGTGAGGTACTGTCAAGAAGAGAAGGCTTCCTATTCTTACGATGTTTCTATGCTAGAAGGCATAAAGAACCAGCATGCAAGCAAATACAATTGCCAAGTGTGTAGGACATCAGAGGATGCCAAGGCTTAGTGCACAAGGGTGGAACTTGGAGAGAGGATGAGTTTGTTGAAGATCAGGAAGGATCTCAAGAGCAAGGTTGCATTTTAAGCAAAGACCTGGAGGGAATGAGGGAGGGACCCATGCAGCTGCTGCAGCAAGAAGCTTTGGCAGACCAGATAGGATGGATGGAATTGTTGAGAGGTGAGGATTGCAGTGTTGAGCTGCCAGGGCTTTAGAACCATTTTACTTGGGTGGGCTGGGTTCGAGAAGGAATGACATGATGAATACTTGGATTGTGTTGGCTCTAGTTTGAGGATCACCTTCATAGGGTAGAGGCAAAGGAAGGAAAATACTTCTGAAGAGCGTGGAAACTAGTTTAGCGTGGAAGCAGGGAGGGTGATCAGGACCACACTGGACAGCTTTTGAAGGTAGAATAAACAGACTGTAGTAAATGCCTGAGTTTATAGTACATGAGTAGGTAAAAATGATTGCGCCAGTTTTTGGTCTGGGTGGCGAGGAGGATAAAGTTGCCATTTGCCGATATAAAAACTAGGAATGGATTTGGGAGCAGAAAGGTTGGAGGTTTCCTTTTGGAAGTGTTGAGATAAGTTGTGACTCTGTCCACAGGGGGAGGATCTGTAGACAGTGGAATTTACAAAAGAATTGTCAGCCAAAACTTTGGCTAGAGGCGTGTGAGTAGGAGAGCTTTGCAGGCGTGTGGAGCTTAAATTGCTGTGGTCCCTTGTCCGATAGTTGCATTGTTTCTAATTCAAAATTTAAACATGGCATTATTTGCTAAATAACACATCTACAGTAGCATAGGCTAGTATGTATCGACATCTTTTGCATAATCTCATTTAAACCTAACATCAAATCTCTGAGTGTGGAAATTACTGATCTCCAGTTAAAAGTTGAGGAAACAGCCTATGAGAAAATAAAGAACTTGTTCAAGATTCTAAGTGGCCTTAGTAGGCTGCTTTCTGACGCCATGTTAAGTTCTTTATTCGCCTTACGATGCCTTGCTTTGTGGAAGTGGTTGATCCTAATAAATGTGTACTTTATGAATGCTGTATACTAATGCTGTGTATGATTTGGTTTGCTGATTTTGACCTGAAGTCAGCATAATTCTGACTTTTGAGCCTTTATTCATCACTCCTATTACTTACCTCCCTCTCCCCCTCATGCCCCCCCCCCCCAAAACCCTACATTTAAGAGCAATTTACAGAAATAGTTAAAACTATACTAGAGGAAAAATTGGTTGACGGGCTACGGATAAGTAGAACATCATCCTTGTGGTGGCTTTCCTGAACACATTGGATTTTAATTCTGAAATTTGCCGCCCAGACGTTCCATCTTTGTTGAAATGGATGAAACATAGGAGGATGATCTTCAGAATCAGAGTAGTCAGAATGGTGGCTTCCATTTGGTTTCTTGTTTACTGTGTATCAGACCTTCTGCGTGTACCTTGAAATTGGAAAACTGGGGTGATAACACGCACTGTGATTAGAGGATTAGAGATGACATTTCCTCGACCATAGATTGCAAAACCTGGTACTTAATTTGCTAAGTGACAAGTTACTGGATAGCTCATTTGTCATTTCCCTTCACTGCCCTCCAGGAGTTGCTAAATACATCTCTTTTTGCTGATTACCTAATTTCCTCCTAGAAAATGTCTCATTCAGGTTTTAATTTTAAAACGGTTTTTATGCACATTTCAGGGATGATTTATTATTTCTAATATATAGTAATTCATTATTCTTATTTTGGATAACAATTCAGAGCATATTGTTTGGAATTGGAAAAATGGAGCTGTCCTAGAGAGTCAAGGATGTATGATGATTTGCCCAAGTGTAAGGTTTGAGGCATCCTCCTGGGGTGTGGAAGAGTTTCTGCAACCTTCCTAAATTTTCTAGTTCTGTAGTCACTTATGCCAAGCATCGGTGTATCGTCTAGACCTAGACTGGGTCAATTTCCTTCAGTGAAAATGGGAAATGCGCACACTGAAATTGATTACTTGTTCCTTCCTTTGCGACAGTAAACCAGTGGTTGGAGAGTTAGGAAAGTTTTTTTTTTTGTATAACCACATGCCCATGGACCTTGAGTGTATCTTATGTAAGTCAGCTTGAATAGAAATATAGACAAAGCAAATTTTCTGTAGCATTTATTTAATACACATTAAATAAATTCAACTGTCAAGAAGCTCTGGTGCAAAGAAAATCTTGAGTTAGGTGGTGTGGGAAGTATCAGCTTGCATGGGGAGTTTCTCAACCTCAGGAATTTGTAGTTACTTTGGGATGAGCTCCGTCAACCCACATTCAAGACTTCTTCTCTTATTATGGGACTTTTCTCTTATTGTGCTTGCCAGACACTTGAATTCATCTCCTACCGAGACTTAGTTTAAACCAGAATTTGCAACAGGACCCACCAGATACCTGTTTGTAAGGGAGACCAAGCCTTTGGATCTGTGATTGTGTTGGTGCCTCACGCCGCTCAGTGGGAACTGTGCTGCCATTGCTGCCAGCTTCCTAGGCTCACTCATTGAGCATACACCACTGTCTGCCTCATGTATGTTTTCAGCATGTTGCTTGCTATGCACATCTAATCAGTAGAGCTGTTTGGTCTCTACAAATGGCATTTTGATGACAAGGATGTACACAGAATTTGCAGCTTGCCAAAATTCCCTTCATTTGCCTTCTCTACTTTGCACATAATGAGTCTGTAAGGATACAGTTAGAGCAGAGGCTGTAAGTCCGTTGATGGATCTTCTGCTTTAACACTTTGCTGGATGACTAAACAGTTTGAATCCTATGGTTTTTTTTTTAATATGTTAATATACTACAGTTCTGGTTTGGAGATAAATTTATGAAAATTGAGGAACTTTGGGCCCAGTGTGGTCACCTAGTGGCTGAAGTCCTCTCTTTGCACATGCCAGAATCCGATATGGGTGCTGGTTTGTGTCCTGGCTGCTCCACTTTTCCAGCTCCCTGCAAATGGCCTGGGAAAGCATCAAGGATGGCCCACAGACTTGGGATCCTGTCCCCACATTAGAGACCTGAAAGAAGCTCCTGGCTCCTGGTTTCAGATAGGCTCAGCTCCAGTCATTGCGGCTCCTTGGGGAGTGAACCAGTGGATGGAAGATCTTCCTCTCTGAAGCTCCTTCTCTCTGTAGCTTCTTCCTTCTGTAAATCTGGATTTCCCATAAAAACAAATAAGACTTTAACAAAGAAAATCAAGGTACTTTGGAAGCTCATCGTTTTAGGTTTTCCTTTCCATGCTTTCTTGCTGCCTTCTTTGTTTTATTTTTTGTTCACTGCCTTTGGTTTTTCTTTTCAGATTTATTTACTTTTATTGGAAAGGCAGATTTACAGAAAAAAAGAGCAACAGAGCAGGATCTTCCACCTTCTGGTCCACTCCCTAACTGGCCCACCACAGCTACAGCTAATAATATGATCCAAAGCTAGAAGCTGGGAAATTCCTCTGGGTCTCCATGTGGTTCTCAAGGCTTTGGGTCATCCTCTGCTCTTTTCTCTGGTCACAAACAGGGAGCTAGATAAAAATGGAGCAACCAGAGCATAAACTGGCAGTTCCATGGGATGTCTCTGCAGGCAGCTGGAGGATTAGCCACTTAAGCCATCACACTGATGCCAGCTGTCCTTTTGGGTCTAGCAATCATTCTTGGAAGGGGACTATGGTTTATTTAGTGTCTCATCTCTCCCATGAATGTTTGCTTTTCAATAGACATGATATTCCCCTTATCCAAGATAGGGGTAATAAGTTCTGTTTAAGAAATTCAGTTAACATACATGGTCACCCAAAATGTGAGATGGGTTTCTCTACACGTTCATATCCCAGTGGACATTTGACTCAGGCAGGGAGTACAGTCAAATGAGATTACTAGTCTCTCTTGCATAACCAACATTGCCATGTTCAGTTTCTAGATTCTTGCTTCTCACTCCCCCAGTCTTCCCATTTTTAAAATGGGGATTTGTTGGGTGCCGCTGATAATAGCAGTTCTGGATTTGTTTTACCTTCGACCCACATTCTTCTGTTACTGAATCTGTTTCTTTACTTGCAGAATAGGACTTACGTGAAAAAAAATGTGTTTAAACCATTCAACCTTAAACCATAATATATAAACTACAGGTTTCATAGTAGAAACAACATAAGGTAGCTATTTAATTAGTATAAATTGTAGGACTTTTATGTGGAAAATTAAAAATAATCAGAAAACGCTTCTTCATATAGCAAGTTTGTTAAACATTTGTAGCAGGTGCCACTTGTGCTTATAATAATTGTGGGTATGTCTTGATTCTAAGAAAGCCAGATTTAGAAATTATATGTGGAAATATTTATATTCATGGTTTTAAACATGTAGATGCACAATGTCATTTTCTTTAAAAAGCACCGAGTTATCAAGTAAATTCAAGAAAGGAGTTGTGTTCTCAACATTGAGTGTTTATGAGATAATCTAAAAATATTATGCAAGTCAAGGTGCAGTTCTGTGAGGTTGGCCCTTTATGCCTGTGTTATGTCCTCCTGTGGTCTTTTGTTGCACAGGATTCTACAATTCTATTTTTCACCCCACAGATTTACCAATAAAGAGACATAGAGAGTATGAGCTGGTGACTCCAGTCAGCACAAACCTAGAAGGACACTATCTCTCCCATATTCTTTCTGCAAATCACAAAAAGAGGTCAACGAGGGATGTATCTTCCAACCCTGAGCAATTGTTCTTTAACATCACAGCATTTGGAAGAGATTTTCATCTGCGACTGAAGCCCAACACTCAGCTGATAGCTCCTGGAGCTCTTGTGGAATGGCATGAGGCATCTCTGGTGCCAGGGAATACATCTGACCCCACTCATGACCACCAAGCAGGGAGTGCTTCAGAAAGAATCTGGAAAACAGAACCCTTGCAGACTAACTGTGCTTATGTTGGTGATATCATGGACATTCCAGGAACCTCTGTTGCCATTAGCAACTGTGATGGTCTGGTAAGATGCATTCCATTTCATGTGTGTGTGTGTGCGTGTGCGTGTGCGTGTGCGTGCAGGTGATGGGAGGGGGTGGAGTGGGGCTTCCATGTGAGTTGGAAGAGAGAGGGGAAAGGAAGCCTTATTGTGATATTTGAAGTTCAGGGGAAAACATCTTTTTATTTTTTTTTTAAAGTTGTATGCTTTGGCTTAATTTTTGAGACTTGAACACATTCTGAGAAACAAAGATTACTATTTTGGCAATTTAATGTGTGTGTTTTCACTTGACATAACATTGGGGGAATTTTATTTCTGTGATTCTTTGAAAAGTTTCTGAAATGCTTTCTAAATAAGTGGATTTCTCCAAAAGAGCAGTGTTTCACATTTTCTGTGGAGTCCTTGGCCATCTTTCTAAAGAACGTGTTTTGAAAGTGTATGTTAGCCTGCTCATAGAATGCTGAAGTGGAAAATGAGAAGATCCTTGGTCAAAATTTGTCCATATGACATTGCTTGATAAACATGACATGTAGATCTTTCTCCTTTATTTTAAAGTAAAATGCCATATATTGTTTTATTGGCTTTCTGGTTGAGAGCCAGTTGTAGAACAGCCTTCTTTCATTATGCAGATGTGAGATGTTTTCATTTGTTTCTTCAGATACCATTTCATATTTGTGTCAGGGTTTATCCCTTTTGTATTTACTGTTGACTCAAAGTCTTAAAAGAGAGAGAGAGAAAATATTTGTCTTTTTGAGGGATTCCTGTTTCTCGGGAGATCAGGGCTATTGTCACTCCCTCTGAGAATTCTCAAAAATATTACATTCCTTATTATAGTTACTCCGTTGTTTTCCTGATCTTTCAATGACACCTTGAGTATTCTGCTCTTACCATTTCTGTGAATGGACCCAGCCCACTGAAGTTATGCTACATGTTCTACCAAATACTGGTAAAATTATATTTTAGGCTATTTTTGCATTACTGACTCTGGATGTTTGTAAGGCTTTAAACATTGGTGCAGAAAACTGTTGCATATGTGCAGCTGGTTCAAGTTCTCAACCTGAGCTCTTAGTTTAGGATCTGAATCTTCAAGCCTGGAGCTAGACTGTCTTGCTGAGTTTGAAGACAAAAGAAAAGTCTTGATTTTTATTATGCATAAAGGCTAAATATATCAGATTGAATGAAGTCACCAAATTAAAAAAAAATAAATTATATGACAAGATACCCTTTTATTGCACTTGTGAGTAAAAGATCTTGAGTATAAATCTTAGTTCAGGGCCTGGCACAATAGTTTAAATGACTATTGCTTTGACTGAAAGCATGGGCATCCCATATGGGCACTGTTTCATGTCCCAGCTGCTCCATCCCACTTGTGGCCTGGGAAAGCAGTGGCATATGGCTGAAAGTGTTGGAACCTGTGGGAGACTTAGAGTGGCCCCTGGCTTTGGATTGGCTCAACTCTGTCCATTTGAGGAGTGAACCAGCAGATGGAAGGTCTGTCTTGTTTCCTTTTCTGTATAGATTTGCTGTTGCAATAAAAGTAAAATCTTAATTCAGTGTTACAATTAAAAAAATTTATTTTGTTTTACTTGTAAATTGGATGAAGGAGGAGGAGTAGAAAGAGAGGGAGAAGGAAGGAAGAGAGGGAGAGAGAGACAGAGAGATCTTCCCTTCTCTGGTTCACTCCCCAAGTGGCTGCAATGGCAGAGCTGGTTTAATCCAGAGCTGGGAGCCAGGAGCTTTTCTGGGTTTCCTATAGGGGTTCAGCAGTGCAATGACTCAGGTCATTCTCAGATGCTGGCATTGGGGGTGCCGACGTTACCTGGCATACCATGTCAGCCAAATGAAACAATTTTTAATCAGAGAAGAGTGGCCCAGAGCTTGAGTTTGATACAAGAAGAGTTTATCAGGCAATAGTAATCATATAGACTTGCTTACATGGAGCTTGTTCTAAAGTTTCCAGGAGGAAGAAGGCAGCTGCTGCTGGAAACAGGTGCAATATTATGGAGAGCTGATCAGCTGAGTGGAAAGAGTACATAGTGGCTACTCTCTTGAGATGACGAATGGATTCCTGAAGTTGCAGAGTTATATCAGACAGGGTGACAATATTAGCTAATGAGGATGTTGAAATTTTGGCTGATCCGTTGATTCCTCTACCCTTTTCTTTAACTTGTAATGTGGGGATGTAAGCTGAGCCTCTGGACTTTCAGGAGAAGCAGGTATACACTGAGATAAGGTAGGGGCCAAAGATTAATTTGATGGGATGTAAAGTCATCGCCCTGCGACGTACTGAAGCTGTTACCAAATTCAGATTGTTGCAGTGGAAGGTACCTGCTGTTACTACTTCTTATTTGAAGAATATGCCATTGAAGCCCTACTTGGGTGGAAAAGTTCATCTTTTTGGTTGGGCTTATTTTAGATGGGTGTAGCAGGGACTTTATTGATCTTTCTTTATTTGCCTTTTAAAGTTGTTTTATGGCAGGGTTGGGGAGCAGCCATAGGTATTTATTTGTCATTAAGTTTGGAGACTTCATAGCGTGGTCCTTTCCAAGGAGGACACTTTTATCTTTTGCTCCCTTGTAAGATGCCATGGGAGTTTGAAATGTGTGATAAGTGCAGACACAATAAATTAGTCTTAAACAGAATGCTGTTAATGAAAAAAACAATGCAACTCAAAGTGTGCTCCACGAATCCAGGGAATGAAATTGTCTAGAACAGATTCTGGCTGTTTGATGCTTTCTGCTCTGTGTATTGGGCTTGGGTGTATATAAACAATATGGGATTGATGATTTCTATTTTGTCTTATTTCTGTTACATATTTGCTGTTTACAGTGAAAGCCAGTCTGAGACTGACTGGGGACAAAAAGAAATACTTCTTTATCACAGATACTTTGAGAAGCACTAAATGTTATTTAGTTGGCTTTCCCTAGTGTGGCCATCAGAACTGTGATTGAGATAACCAGGTTGTCTTATCTCAGATGACTTAATGGATAATCACAGGAATGAGCCTTTAATTTGAGCTTTATTGAAGCGGACAGAAAAATGCCTCGAGTGACATATCCTGAGTCATGGTCTAGAATGTAGATGGTCTAGACATGGATCTACATAAAAACTAAAATAGTATGTGGTGGGTTTGTGGAATTAGTAAGGCGCATACCCAAAGTAGTTGGCAGCAATTGTTACCTTATGGCGTGACTGAGAACAATATCTGTTCTTGTCCAGCGCCGAGCCCTTCCAGCTCTTGTCTGGGATTATCACTTAGGAGTGGTTGCTGCTTCTTTACCAGCTTTCTGTTGTTGTAATCTGTTCTACATATGGGAATGAAAGTGTGCTATGCAGGCATAGGGTTGTCTCCACTTTAATACAGCATTCCATCTAGAACAAAGCTCTGCTTCTCTGCCCAGCCGCTACATTGGAACCAGAGCCCCAAGACTAACATTATGTTCCTGACACTCTGACTTTGACGTGCCCATGCTTCTCTCTGCAGTGTGTTCCCTTTCCCTGGGGCAGTGATCCCAGCTGCTGACTGCTGAGGTGTGCCTGCAGCTCATTGGTGGGGGGATATGGACACACCTCCCTCTCTCTGCCTCTGTACTTCTGAAATGAGAGTCTGTGGTGAGAAGTCGTGATGATGGCAGGCATTTTACACACTTGTGGGAAGATACTTCTGGCTGAGAATTCCACCTGAAAATAGTTTTCTCCTACAGTCTTTGCTGTTATTCAGTAAAACAATAAATTTCCCCTGTGAGTCCTGGCAGCTCACAATCGTATTTTGTGGTCTCCAAATTTGCCAAAATAAGGGGGTGTTTGGATAGCAGGCTTTATGTCATGGGTTTCTTAATATAAATGGAACTGGTTTTCTAGATTTCTAGAAAAATATTGCTTTGTGGATGTAGCTGGAATACCATGGCAAGGAACTGGCTGGGAACACAACAACTCACAGGCTGCTACAATTTGAGGATTTCCTCACAGGATGGTTTTTAAGATCACAGGAATTTATCTGGGACGAACTTTTTCTCAGCATCTTTTAAACATTTTAAATTCTTTGTTCAAATGAAATCACTGGACATTATCTAATGAGTTAATACAGAAAATGCAGAAACTCAGGGAAAATCTGATTAAAGCATAGGTGCATGAATCTGAGATGACTGGACAAGGTATAGCCATAGTAATGTAAACTGCTCAGGGATATGAAAAGAACAAATGAGAAACTACTTTTCCAGGGGTTTGAATGATGGAAATTTTCAACAAAGATGTGGGAAAAAAAGGATGAAGACTGCAGGGTACAAGAGCGGAGAGGACAGACACACTGGTGCCCCCAGCTGCATGGGGCAGCCAGTTGCCCGTTGAGAGCCACCGTCTTAGCACACTGAGCTAGGAACAAATTACCATGCACCTCACCACTTGCAATGTTAGCTGCGAATGAGTTCCACAATTACTCACCGACATTTATTCCAGCCTGGAGAGTTGGTTGGGGTCTGAGCGACTGCAGCCTTGGAGCAAGGAGACCACATTGCTTTCTTCCCCTCCTCCACTGGTGATGAGCACTGTACTCCTCCATGGAAAGCCATGAGACAACCTTCTGTTCTGTTGCAATTAGTGTCATAGAGTCAGGGCCATGTGTGGGGAGAAGGATGAACTCCTGAATCCTGCATCTTGGGAGTTTGGGGACTTTAGCCACAAATTGATACTCCTGTGAGCCAGTGGGATTTGCCTTAGGTTCTAGAGCCTAACCCCAGAAGCAGCCCATAGAAAGATCTGCTGCCATTTTGGAAGACCTGTGCAATGACTGCACTGTATTGTGCAATACCAGGACTGTAGCAGGTCTTTCTAAATCTCTTGCTGCCGCATGAAACTGCCCAGTGGACACAAGGAAGAACCTATTGGCATTCTGCTCTCTGGATCCATACCCCCTGGAATAAAGTCTCCAGTATGCCTTGCAGTCTTCCTGTAGAATTGAACAGTTTCAGTTCCCATCCTCAAGTCATAGGACAAGGGTAGTTGATATAATAAGCCACAACACTCTC